GGGTGACTAGTAACTCTGCTGAGGGACTTGTGTACAGATGGTGTGCCTCCCTTCTCCCTTTCCTTACTCAGTCCCTCCCCCCTTCCATCCAAACCCTCAGGCTGCAAGTGAAAAGAGAGAGCGGAGAGAGAGAGAGAGAGAGAGAGAAGCCTGAAGAACCGCTTGCCTCACCTTGGCAGTGCTGGCCATTTCCAGCGCCTCTTCATCAGCCATGCCACTCTGCGGCCCGTCACTAATTAATCTTAATGAGCCAGCAGATCAGTGACTTCTCCTTCATAAGATGAGTGCATAAATCACCCTTAACAAACGGACGCAGTCCACGTCTTTAGCTAAAGCCGGATGAAATTAAAAAATGCTGCTGTTTTTAAACGGCTTTTAATTGCATGATTGATCAACTGCAGGATGCGGCATAAAAGCTTGTCTTTATTCATGCTAAATGAATCGGCCATGTCCGAAAGACACTAGAGACCCAGAGACTGAAAATATAATGTGGATGGCATACATTTAACCGCTCATTTACTGTAAGCAAAATCCTGCCAGTCTACTTTCAGGGGGATGGTTGAGCAGGATGAAAATGATACATGCCCACATTAAGCAAATTAATGTGTGCTATCAGCAACTGCGAGCAAGCTAGGTCTTCGGCTTTGACCACAAGATACAACCACCCCTCGCTCCCCTCATAGATTATTTTCTCAACACATGCAATGAGCCGAGCTTCTAAACTAGACTGCAGGCGGAATGATAAACATGAACAAATGTGTTATTTTCTTTGTCTGCCAGAAGTAGCTGTGAGAAGAGTTGATATACTCCACAAAGAACAGCCTAATTAAGACTGTTTGCAAAGGGAATATTTATTTTGGGAATATGTCTTGCTTTTTTTTTTAAATATTTAATTTAAAATAGTACAAATAAGTTGGGCACAAAATCTCTATGAACACTTTTAGAAAGTCAACTAAACTAGACTGTGTGGCACCAGACTCTTAACCAATTAAACTAGAAAAAATTAAAATATTTTTTTTCAGTAACACTATAAAGTACTTACATTAATAAAAAGGTTGTGATGTAACAGATGTATAGCAACATATCTTTTCTTCTGTATTGTGATGTATACTCAAATGAATGGATATTGGAAAAAATCTAATGTATGGGGACTTGATTCAGTCCATCAGCTGTTGATCGGGTGGAGGCTGATCTGAATGAGAGCTTGCAGTGGATTGTAAAAAGGGGCGGAGTTTAAGCAGACTAAATAATTGGAGAAATCAGATTAAGTTATGACATTTTGATTAGAAATTACAAGCTCATGCACACAATATTTTAAGATTTAAGATCAATAAACTGGCCTACCTTTACATCCTTTGCCATATCCTGAATTCATCATGCCACTGTACTGTCAGACAGAGAAAGAAATACACATTTAATAATAATTTTACCTCAAAAAAATCAAACAAACCAGCAAAAGATTAAGTAAGAGTTTGTTTCTTAGACAAACTGCAGACCTCAAGTCCACAACGCTGCTTTTAGCATCTTAGGCTTGGAAATTATTTTGCATTACAGAGTTTGGGCCAGCTGGTTTTGAACTGTTGGGTGCTAGTCTAACCATTATAACCATGCTGTTTACCAGCAGAACTTGAATGGTAAAGATTCTTTACCAGGGCAGTCTTGCTGATTAAGCTAGTTAAGAAGCCTGATGGGACCACCAGCACATCAGCAGCAGAGACAGCATTCGTTCCCCATTAAAATGATCATCCCAACATCTCCAGACTTCCACAAACATCTGAGCTTTCTCAGATGACAGTCAGCATGGTGCTTATCTGTGAATGGGAGGATGAAATGCCACATTGTGCATCTTTCATAAATTCTTTTTCATAGTATTGATTTGAGCTTATTGTGCTGAGGCATTTTATTTCCCATGGGTCCCAGGCTATTAACTCTGATATGATCAGGAAAGATCCTCTTACTCAAATTCCCCGGTCACATCTCGGCTGGCAGGCTACATGCACGCTTGACCTCCGACAGATACTACACGGTTGCTGCCATGTAGATTGTGGTTTAATAAACATGTCTCATTACAGTCGCTTGAAGATCTACTTCGTGGTGCGCTGAGTCGGATATATACTGACTGCAGAGTAAAAAATTGGTGTAGAAACAATTTTAGCTCAGAAATTACTAGTACATTTCCCAAACAATTACAAAGGAATGGCAAATAACACATTGATTTAAAGATGACATTTTTATGAAGAAAAACTAAAATAGTATTTTCTTGTAAAACTTACTCAAATAATTTTTATTTACAACTTTTTTTTGCAGTGCAAGATAGGTGGATTTTAGCATTCAATTATATGATAAAGTGAATATAACTTAAGTGTGAAGCTGTTCAGAATCTTTCAGAATGTCATCAAAGATAACAGTTCATACATTACTTGCAAGACTATAGTGTTTGGACAGAATAACGTCATCAAAATATTGTCAACAGCTTTATATTCTTTTCTTAAGAATTTAAGGGCATTGCTTCATGACTTTAAAAACTGTCTTTCCTATAGAGCTACTCACACCCAGCTGTCCATATTGTCTTGTCCTCAAATAGACTCTAACTCCCTCCTTTCTGGTCTCCTTGCAAGTGCTAAACGGCTAGTCCAAAATGCTGCTGCCTGATCTGGATTGAAATTCTCATGTTTCAGCTCTGCTCAGTCTCCTCACAAGCTTCAGGGATGATGTTAGAATCAAATCTAAAACATAGTCTCTGACCAACAATGCAGCCAATTGTTTGGCTCTGTTATCAGCACACCACAATAAAAACAAACTCCTCAACCTGGCTGCTACAATCAGCTGTATCCAGAATAAAAAGCCAAGAGCAGCTTGTTCGGGGTGGGATTGGAAAGGTGGAGGGCTCGGGGCGGTAGGTTTGTCAGAGTACTCTGTGGATTATTATGTTTCAAGGATAAAGTCAATTTAATACCATCAGCCTATGGGAAGAAAGCAGCAGGGAAAAGTAAGAGAAAAATGTGGTCTCATGCTTCAGGGTTTCAACACTCAGGACCTTTGGCTTTAAGCCATAATTTTGTTGATAATCAATTTTTGTACATGTCTCGCTTCAGCGGTTTTAAACGCACACACACAAAAAATGTACTAGACTGAAATAACTGTGGAGAAATTAAATTCAGGACCTACATGTCACAGATCTGAGGTATTATTAGTGCTCATTTGTATACGAACAGTGATTTTAAATACACAGAATCTGCAGACATAGTACAAAGAGATAAATGATTATGTGTAAGAGAATGATGAAAGAGAATGAACACATATAAATGCACATTTTTTTCTGAGGTTAAATGCAAACTACAGCAAGTGTAACGAGAGACAGGAGGAAGCCTGTTAGGGTTAACTACGCCTCATTATCTTCCCTACATGCATGCCTGTGCATAACACTCAAAACTGTCTGCCACTGGGGGTCGGCCATTGCACTTAATTGGGGGTTTAAACCCTGAAGTAATCAAAATTCACCAAAATAGCCACCATTTTTAATATGAATTTCGAATGCACTGGTCTTGCGAACATAAGGGATTAATCTGAGTGAATGAGCAAGTTCAAACGCTGTTATGGCATTTGTCAGAGTAGGTCTGGACTTCCTGCAGAAAGGTCTTGGGTCTCCTTTCCCCTCCACTTTATTAACAAGCTGCCTAACCCTTGTAAGAATGAGTGCTGCTTGAAGAATCACGGCACACATATAGCTCAGCTGAATGCAGGGACTGATTCACTGGCTGAATGATTAAATGGCCTGCTGCCAATATAGACACAAATTTTACATCACAGCTCTTTGCTTTACTTTTAAGGGGCCACATGGTTCAGGCCTCTCTCGAATGGCATCAAACTTAATAAAGCTGTTTATTTGCTAATAATGTGCCAAAAGCTAATCAAAGGTAGGAGAGGAGAATGAACTTTACCATCACACAATTACAAGCAGTAAGGCATAATTACATTAACGTTTTGCATAACTGGAAGCAGGATCCTGCCTGCTGTCTCTGCAGTCTGATTAAGGGGATGCAAATAATTCAGAGCAAGTATTTCTTAAAGTGACAGTATGCAGCCACCTGCCTGCTTTCGACATTAACTGAATCTGACTAAATAAAAATATAGGAGCTGCTGTAGAGCGCAAACTGACATAGAAAGAGTTATTTACATGTGTTGAGATATATATTTTGTGCTTATTTCCAAAAAAAAGTCTAGTTGTGTTTTTTTTTTCTTTGACTAAGACAATAATGTCATACATTTTCATGCACATCGCCGGTGGCTTCAGATGTAAAATTGTTATCGACATTTCACTTGACGATTTATTTATTTCTTTACAACCCAGATACAGACTGTAATCCATCAACCTGTCCGACCTTAATTCGGTCACTTCCAGTGAAACCTTTTAGGGCTTAATTGTGATTTAATTGTGTCCGCTCTCCCCTTAAAGTCATACCAGAAAATATGTGAGCAAGATAAGACATTATAAAAAATATGCCTATGCAGAAACATATTGTTTACTAAAACAAAATTTAAAAAGAGAATATACGGAGCGGGAGCGAGTAAGACATGATAAAATAATGACTGACTGAATTTATTCGTTTTCTACACTGTGATTTTTAGCCTAACAGTTTATTTGTTTGCGCTGTTTATACTGCTGTTGTTATGGGGTATTTATATTGTACTGTGTTGTGTTTAATGCTGTAGCAAAACAAAAAGCTCGTAAGTGCATTCTTACTTGGCCAATAAACTTCACCCAAACAAGCGGCACCAAATCCTCGAGGTAGCCTACGTTTCCCGAGCGAATAGTCCAATTCTGAGAGAGAGAGAGAGAGAGAGAGAGAGAGAGAGAGAGAGAGAGAGAGACTGGAAACATAATTCCTGCGCCTTTAAGAATTGTCTGCTACTAAACTTCAGCGACACTAGTGAGGCAGAGTAAGAACATCCTGACTTGTCGATTTGCTCACGTGTGTAGCCTAGGCTATATATCGATCCCCTGGAGGCTGCTGTTGATTGTGAACCGCACTTGGATAGGTGATGTACTAACTAATTTCAAAACATGTGCACCAGCCACTTTGAAGTCCTACAATCCGTTAAAGTGAGCTACATTTTTTTAAAAAGGCCTGCTAGAAGGTATCACAGCAGAAACGCTGAAAATATTAAGGCCTACCCGTCTGCTCTAAGCTATAATAAAAACTGAGAAAGGAGTAATCCAACTTCATAAGCAGCGGTGTTTCAGCTTACTCTTGGAATCTCCCGGAATCAAAGGTGCACCTGACACTCTTTATCCTTCCCTTGACGTGACCCTACAAACGACTTTCCATCCAGCATCATTGCTTAAATATAGCCAACACTATTGCGCAAAAATAATACCTTAGAAGAGTGACTACAGTTTGAATTATGAGAATACGAATTACTTTTTTCAGGACAAAAAAAGAAAGAAAGAAAAATTAAAAGAAAAAAAATCTCATTTATGCTCTCTAATGCTAGTTTGGGAGAAAAATGATTTCTTTAAATGAAAACAGAGATGAGAAAAAATGAGCCACAAAGTCATACGTTAGAAAAATATTCAAATAGGGGCTGCAGTCTTAAATGAGGATGGATTTAATAAATAAAGCACTATCAAACACGTCATCTGTGAGGTTTACATGAGCGATTTCACACCACGGTGCTCAATATTCACAGGGGATCATAACATCCATTTGATTCTGCCCTTTTTATTCTCGCCCTGCACTGATCCGTGCATGCGATAATATCATAGCACCATATCCGAGTCTTATGCATTTTTTAAATAACCACACTAGAAATAAATGCTCATGATTATGTCACTGATGGATTTATCGATTTTATCTTACACTTTAAGAATTCAAAAAATACTTGTATATAAAAAAATCATTCTTTAAAATGTTGAGAGCATTTTTAGCACCCCGTTTTAAATAAAGCCAAAAATATTAAGATAAACATACGCCTTGCATATTTTTTACATACAATATGTTATTAAGATCAGAGGTACAGTAAAATTACTTGCGTCGTGCAACTGTGATATATAGGCTATAAAATTAGCCTAAACAATTTTTGCAAAGGCGTCTGGTCAGTTTGTGCTACAATCACACTAATTGTTTTTTATCTTTACACGTGGGTTTAAATATATATACATAAAAGTTTTGAATGTTTTATATGTATTTGAATGTTTAAAATTTGGGATAAAAACAATGTTTTTAAATTGTTGAATAAAATCACTTTTTCTCATAAAAGAAAAGCACATGTCGGACAATTATAGCCAACTGGAATAGTCAACTGTACGAAAGCGGCCAGTTTACGACATCATTTATACCAGTAATATCTTAAAATATTATGATTAATATTATATTAAAATGTATTAGTGTAACGTAAAATTCTATATAGGAATATAATAGGCTAAATGAATATAAAAAAAGGTGCAATGGATTACTTCTTAAAAATACTTGATTTAGGCTACTTATAGCCTATTTATGATTAATAGGCTATATCCGACAAACTAGCAAAATAAAACACTCAACATAATGACTGACGAAGAAAACATCGAAAAGTTTTCCACAAATTGGACGATCCTGTGCAAGTTACCACCAACTATTTTCGCTCGACTAGTTTCTCTAACTTCTATCATCAGATTCTCGATAGCCTCCGTCCATGTTAACGTCAATATACCAGAATGAACTGATAATTCCATGCTGCAATATTCATATCCTCTAATTGCGTCAGTTGAAATTATCACAGAATTAATTAAACACGGTTCCCATTTCCAATTGACCACACGGCACTGTAGGAATCCTAATTAATTATAATTAAATTAAGGGGGCTCCATCAGTGCAGCATTGATTTGAGGAAAAGCCGCTGAAAGTTGAATTCAGAAGCGCCTGTAATGACTCCAGACATGATGGCGATGGGGGCCGGGCTGAGGTGGCCGTGTATAAATAGTGTGATCTGAAAAACACAGACATAACAGCAGGAGTGATCTAAACCTTCTACACGCAAACATATCGCCGAATTCACTGTTGAGCAGACAAAAAAGATTCGCGTTAGATACATTTTAAAGTGGATTTCTGTAATCAGCCATGGAAGAACTCACGGCGTTCGTGTCGAAATCCTTCGGTCAGAAAAGCAAGGAGAGCAGCAAAGAGAGCATCACGTACAAGGAAGTTTTGGAGAGTGGTTTAGCCCGAGCCAGAGAGCTGGGAAACTCGGAGACCAACCTCCAGGAGATTACAGAAACCAACAACAACCATTGTGCGGTACACCTTTACAAGGAGCACGTAGAGCTGGAAAAGGAGAAATTGAAGGAGTTTAACGTGACACGGGCTACTGACGGTGAGTTAGGCTACACTTACGCAAAGTGTAATAACGTGTTTCGCCGCAGACGCGTTTACAATTCGATGTTCGCGCGAATACGTTGTTGAAATAGCTATAAAATCTGAATTAAAGAGAGATTTCGATCGCCTTGAGAGGCTAACTAGCATGCGAGTGGAGAAATTCAAGCTGTAGCCTATTCAGCTGATGCAATGGGCACTTGTTCGTGCCGTGCAGAGAACTGTTTTCTTTTGTAAAAGAACAGAAATAGCTACACGACAGGCAATTTTAAGTAAGAGAATCGCAGTAGCCTAAATGTTAAACAAAAAAAGTAGTCCGTACTCACATTTGAAGAATTACGGTCAAAACAATAGGCCCTTGTCAAATTTGAAAGGACGATCTATCAATTTATTCCTAAGCGTTCCTTAAATAGCCAGGAAATGAGTAAAGACACTTAGGCTATTTTCTCTTAACGTACAAACACTTGTGTAAATAAAGTTTAAAAGGCTGTCATTTAACACAGAACCATATGGGTGATAACATTTTAAAAGTGAGATTTAATTTAAAACGGGTTTGCTTAACAAACTGCGAAGAAATAGCTTTAACGACAATCATGGCAGGCCCATGACAAATTGTTTTGGAATGCAACACCTCAATAATAATATTAATACAAATACTACTACTATTATTACTAGTACTAATAATAATATTGATAATGATTGAGTATATTTAAATGCCATTGATAATATACATTGAAAACAAAAGAAAGATAACTTCACAGAATTCATAGAGAAAACTATTGCAGTAAGACAAAGTTTTGTAAGTTTACATTTGATTTCCAAAACTTGCAAATAACAGTTTATTAATACTGCTGGAATTACGTTCTATATAAATATTTTTTTTTTTAAGTGCAGAGCTGCATTTGCTCTTTGTAAACTTCTAATGTTTCCTAATATCTTGTAATGTAATTTCAGAATTACATAATAATATAATCTCTTTATCTATGTATCTTAAATATAAGAATCTGCCCAATTACAATTTATACATATTAAAAGAAAATCGAGAACATTTACGTGTTTATTTGTAAGTCAGTGTTATTTGTAAAACGATTTCCATAATGTAGGCCTACTACGTTGTTTCAAAGCATCAGCAATTTCTCACTGTTCATTTTGAATTTTACCTAACAAAATTGTTTTAATTTTTAAGCTAAATTTTTGAAAAAAGTGTTCTGTGTTGACATGGCATATGCTATTAATTAGATGTATTTAGTTCCCGATTCTGTTTACTTCTGAGCCGCCATCTGCACGCTCTTTAAACACTCGTGTAATAAATGAACGCTTTAAAAGAAATACTTTGTTGATGTGTTTATGTTGTATTTTCACAGGAATTTATGAGTGTAAAGACAAGAAAGAGGATGTGAAGTCAGAGGACGAGGACGCACAGAGTAAACTGAAGCAGAGACGGAGCAGGACAAATTTTACCTTAGAGCAGCTGAATGAACTGGAGCGCTTATTTGATGAGACGCATTACCCGGACGCCTTCATGCGGGAGGAGTTGAGTCAGAGGCTGGGGCTGTCAGAGGCCCGCGTGCAGGTATGATCCCATTCTTCCAAACACTTCAGTGATTCTTTTTATTACTTTTAAAAATTCTAATATGGAAAAAAAATAGAATCAGGCAAATATTAAATATGACTACATAAAAAAATTATTAAAAACATTAATTTTTTTAAACGAATGCATCACGAATTTTTTAGTGGAAATGCAAATAACCTGGATGCCAAATGGGGGTTCTGTGTCACTCATTTTTCATTGTTTTATGTACATGTTCTCGAAATAGGTTTAAAGTAGGCCCGTGTGTGAAAATAGGCTACGACAGTAACATACCTCGCTCTATCAGCGTAGCATAATTGAGAAAAATAATGTCCACGGAGAATATTCATAATGTTTATTGCTTTTATATTTAATGTTAGCAAGTAATAGAGATACTAAGTCTCCTATAATAGCGCTGCTGTGGTGTATATATTTATATGCCTAGAGGACATTATGACGCTGATTACTTAATGTACACGTAAAACTAAAGGGTTTTTGTTAGCACTTTTTAAAGTTAGAAATAATAGGCAATGTATTTACAAAGTACAGTTAAGCCCTTCTTAGGAAGACGTGCTTGTTATAGAGAAGTGCACTGGCAAGGGGAAAATAATCAAATAATACAGATAGTAAGTGTGATCGCTAGGCCTTCATTCCTCCTACACATTTGCTTAAGTAGGCTAGATTAAATTTGTATATCATACCATGCGCCTGAGATGTTTAACATTTGGAGACGGTTGTTGTTCTGTTCACTCATACACAAAGCATTTCTGTTATCTTTCGATTTATGCGGGTTCAGTTTCAGTGGTGGGTGTGGATATGAAATAACCTTTTAGTTCCTTCAGCAGCAGCTATATTCAAAGGACAACTTGCTTATGTGCTGCAGAAAGATCTAACCACGCATCATTAAAATTAATGAAGAGATTGAACCGCTGCTGCAGGGGATACCTTCTTATGTCACTCACCTCATTTTCTCCAACCTTATCTTTGTAATATCTGCCATTGCCTTGATATACTGTTCCTATAAAAATGTATTAGGGATAATTCAATTCCGTCTTAACTCCTACAGTGACACAGGCCGTGTTACAAAATGTAATAGGAAAATGAGTAACATTGTTTGCCAGTGTGACAGCTTGCAAGCACGACATTTTTTTTTAATGTTTCAGAGGCGGAGGCGAAATCAGATTAAAAGAGGAGAGCAAAGAATGGGTCAGAACTGTGATTTGATGCAACCAAAAATTCATACTGCCTTAAAAAAACGCCTCTGTATAATGCGTCACAACGGCATTTTATGACTCGTATCACTTATCACATCATTTCAAATTTCGCTGAAAATTCAGAGTTAAATGCAATGGACGTGAGCTAGCCTAGTTGATATGGACCTGCTACTATACTGTCCTATAGAAGCCCCACGCCGACCAGCTGTCAAGAATCTAATTGAAAGTTATGAGACCTCAGTGAGGAGAAGGCAGTAATTCAATTACGACTAATATCTTTCGGTTTTTGGTGCAGGGCTAAATTAAATGTCATTATTCACTGTCTCTAATAAAAATCAAAAGTAAATCAGATTAGGGTATTTGTGAACCGCATCATTGAGTGGTCCTTAATGAAGAAATAACTGTCGAAACCAGTGTAGCTCACTTTCCCTATAACATAGTGCTGGATAATTACAATCGATCAAAGACTGAAATATGATGCATTCATTTTGGCGCACTAAAAGTCACACACTGAATAATAATAATAATAATAATAATAATAATAATAATAATAATAATAGATTCTATAATGCAAATCCGAGTGTCTTACAAAAAAACAGGTTGACAGACGTTTCCTTTTAAATTTTAATGAGCGAGTCTGAGAGTTGAAAAAGCAGCGCTAATAGCCTAATTTAACTGAAACGACCAAATCAAGTAATGATGGAAAACTGTAGGCATAGATTACATTTGCACTGTTCATAATTAATATTTTCCACATTCTCAAGCACCTGTGATGCAGCAAATTGATTTTATTGGAAAACTATTAGACAAAGGCCTAAATTTCAGCAATGTAAAATTGTCAGTTAGTTTACACGGTGCTTTGACAAGAGCTTATAGGCCTACGTTATTTAGCTAATTTAAAGAAAAAAAATAAGAAAAAAAAAATTTATTACATAGGCTAGACACAGCCAAAGAATACACAGATAATTCACTGCTGTAGAAGACGAAAATTGCAATATTAATTATGAAGAAGATTTGTGGAACAATGAATAACTGAATTCGCTTTTCCAATTGAAACGTCTAATGAAATAATAAACTAGACCGATTATCAGAGGCAACAGAAATCGGCATAGTTTTTCTGTAATGTCGGTTGCATGGACAAATTAAATATAACAAATTTGCACATTTCTGTAATTTAATTTGTAATATAAAAAAGTTGTAAATGGTGGAGAACACGATATTTTTTTCTGTTTTAGGTATGGTTTCAGAACAGAAGAGCGAAATGCCGAAAACAGGAAAATCAAATGCACAAAGGTAAAAAGCATAAATAATCTTTTAATAAATAACCTAATTATTCAATGTTTTATGTAATATTGTGTTATTATTTCAAGCATTTTTTAATTCATTTATAACGGGGCATGACCCACGTCACTGGATGCTTGTGAGCTAGCAGCTCTTATGTGTCCACTGCACCAACACGCCATTTTATAACTCATTACATTTTAAGCTTTATGGAAATGGTGAAATCATCTACATAAAAAATCATTATGACTATCTTTGCTCATTTATTATTCTTTTCTATTCAGGTGTTATTTTGGGCACCGCCAGTCACCTGGACGCGTGCAGGGTCGCTCCTTACGTGAATATGGGCGCGCTAAGAATGCCATTTCAACAGGTAGGAATAACGAAGCTGAAATGGCTTTGTTCTTATATTGTGTGTTCTGTGATGTGCAAATGTGCAGTTCAGTCGACTAAATGAATCACCTAAAAGTAGCCTACTGGCTGAGAAATGTTTAGGCTTTGACAAACAATCTGATGTGACGCTAGTCTTTATGCGTCGCGCGAAGGGCGCGAACCTTTCACCTCCGGGGCCCGATGAGAGACGAATGAGATAAGAGGGACCGAGAGACATTTCATCTGGTGGTGAAGAACTGTCTGCATCAGCCAGACGAGAGAGCAGCCATAATTAAGCTAATAGCACAGCGAGGGAAAGGCAGATAAAAGAGATTATGAAAGAGAGGAATAACGCACTGATGGTTATTGGCACTGAGCAGCATTGGCAGGGCCGAGGCGTGAGGACTGCATACTGAACACCACAAATGTCCACCACCTGTTGTTCTGACTGCCCCTGTAGAGGGGTTGCACAGTCCAATTTGACTGATTTGAGGAGACACTGGAGCAACGGGCTGCTTTAATTTTTATGAGTATTTTCACACAGAGTTAATTAAAATAAATGCAAGTGCCAGGAATAAAGTCAGAAGGCCTGTGGTTAGAAATTGTGAGCAGCAAAGAAACTCAGATGTGACAGGCCATATTCATACCTGATTATTTTCCAAAAATAACAGACTACCAGGTCTGACATTATTTATCCTCGTTTCAAAGTAATCTTCCTATGTTTTGCATTCACGTGGAAAACAGAAAAAAGAAACATTGGTAAAACATTCTTTCCCACTGTCAAAAACTTGTGCAGCTTGTCAGATGTTGTATTTTAGTTGGACTGCAAAATGTAAAGCTTTGAAATATTTATGATCCCTGTGCAGAGAAACACACATGAGAAGAATACTAAAAGAGAAAATAAAAAATAAGTCACTTTTTAAGTCAGCGGATGTCTAATTTTCACCTCATCTTACTGAAATAATTGCTAAGAATCTGCAACCTGATATTTTATGCTGCCTGCTTACATCTTTTTTCCCCATAGGAACCATGCGAATAAATATTTATATATATATATATATGAGAATGAATATTTTGGGTGTGAAATTGTTTATTTATGCCATTGAATATATAATTAAGATTACATGGTGTTGCATCTTTTAACGGTTGTATGGAAAGATTCAGTGTGGATCAAACTAATATGCTGAGATGTGAGATTTGCAACTGATGGAAGTTCTTTGACTATTAAGCTGTCTGAGCGCATTGCATAATTCATCTCAAGAGCAGATGAAAAAGAATGCACTGAGCGAGTGACTGTTTTCACTGAAAGCACACAGTTAGTGAAAACCTTCAGAGGGGTGTCCGAGCCTGAAACCGGATCCCTGCCGCTCCTCGAGCTGACCCCGCGGCCGCTGACTAACTCCATGTTTGTTTTTGCCCGCCCCGCAGGTCCAAGCTCAGTTACAGTTGGAGGGGATCGGAACGCACTCCCATCCTCACCTGCACCCACACCTCGCGGCCCACGCTCCCTATCTGATGTTCCCGCCCCCGCCCTTTGGATTACCAATCGCGTCGCTGGCAGACTCGGCCTCTGCGGCGGCCGCCGTGGTAGCGGCTGCCAAGAGCAATAGCAAGAACTCCAGCATCGCTGACCTGCGACTCAAGGCAAGAAAACACGCCGAGGCGCTGGGACTCTGACCCCCATGGGCTTCTCTGCTGCTCTGAACTGATAATTGCTTCTAACACAAGACTAAGCCTGTGAAAAGGCCGTGACACTCACAGTTAAAACAAAACAAAATAAAAACAAAAGAGAAAAAAGGGGTGTAAGGGGAGAGAATGAGAGCGAGAGAGAGAGAGAGAGAGATACATGGCTTTGCATTTATTTTTATATATTTTTTAAATGTTAACATTTGCAACAGTTTTACGCAAACGTGTTACTGCAGTACATTTGTTTGACTAAAATGTAGCGTGTTTGAGTTTACAAACATTTCAGGGATGGTGGATGAAACCATAATACTTTGTGTTGAGATTTTCTTGATGCTCCAAGGAATTTGTTGTATCCCATCATATTGCATATGCAAGCATGCCCAAACATGATTCACCATTGATTTTTTTTTCTTCTGTTGTTTCACAAAAAAAAAAAAGGAAAAAAAGAATGTACATCTTGTACAAGTAATCTATCAATAAAAGTTATAAATATTTGTAAAAAGAGTTTGTAAAACTTGTGGCCCTGTCCAGTTTTCTGAATAAAGGTTGCTCTGGTTCAGACACGTTCATATATTATAAGCACATATTATTATTTGTTAAAATTATTACAAGACTCTATATAGAGGAGCCACAATATATTATATCTGAGAAGCTAAAAGTTGTTTTGAATGAAATGAAAATGTCTCCATCAAAATGTACTAGGCATTGATCCTTGAATCTATTCAGGCAAAATCATGCCTCTTTGTCATGTATGTGGTGCAATATGGATCTGTACCCTCCGTATATCTAAAATAACATCACTGTCACATCTGACTTTAGCAAGCCTTTTTTGGATGCCTTGTTGCATCTGGAAACCCAAATCCAGATGTGTGTACACAAAGTAATTGCAGGCAACATAGTGACTTTTTGTCTAAATTGCATGGAGAAATTAGTCCAAATGGCGTCCTGTTGAGCAAGTACCCCCTAAAAGGTCGGAACACATTTAATTTGTAGCTTAGCACTCATACATCAAGATGGAGTGATATAGGCAGAGGCTGATACCCGTACATTTAGGCACTGACCTCTGGCTGGGGTCTGCTGGATGAAGCAGAACATAACAGCATCTTTTTATGTACTCTAATAATTGGCAACATAGGACCACCATCAATCAACCCACACGGTTTCTTTTTCAACATGCACAAACACACAGAGGTATTTATACTGGCCGCAAGTCACAAATAATGACAAGCAAATGGCCTATGAAAAGACTTAATTAAAAGTAAACCAAACTAAACTTTTTTTATTAATTACATTTTTTTTTTTTTTTATTGAATCAATGTTATTGCTTGCATTAAAAGTGACTTGAAGTTTATTGCAGTCGTATGGCTGACAATACTAAAGCTGATGTACATTTAAAATGTTCTTTTTCGTAGCACTGGCATACAGTGAAAGAAACTTCAGGAAATACTTCCCTCTTGTACATTTAAGGTGGAGACACTTACTGTAACATCTAACAACTTATGAGTGTATTACACCTTTTATGAAATGTTGAATTGTATTCTACGTAGGACAATGAAATGATTTTGAGTGAGAAAAGGCAAAAACATGACTTATTCAAGCATCTTCCCCACTCTGTGCCGTTCCTGTTGAAACAAGAAGAACTTAACACGTGCTACCGATGCATGTGAGCCTTATCAATATCAGCCAAACTATGTCCATGCATAACTTACGTAAATATTGTTTCTCCCTGTAAGTGCAAGGAAATGTTGACCTTTTTAATCTTTTCAACAAGGCTCTAAAGAAGAAAGACATACAAGAGGTGTTGGGAATTCTAGTTGGAAAAGTGTCCACAACAGGCCTTCAGGAGCTGGAGTGCATTTTAAACTTTAAGATATGTAAGCTTCAGTCTTTGACATCCTCTTTCATTAGCAATTGGCGAAATTAACAAGGAGCTAGGCTTCAGTGACTGGAAAACATTCATCTGTTCTTCCACCATAAACTTTCTCCTCCACTGCAAAATTAAAGAGAGCTAATAAAGTAAGTAACCTGGAACCTTAAGAACTTTTTAAATATTTGAATGTTTACAATTCCTTTTTCGAAAAGGTGTTGTGCTGATTTCAAGCAGATAAACATTGCAATGCAATGACACAAACACAAGAAATGCTCTGGAGCTGGACTTCAGTCGTTTAGGTATATGAACTATGTTAACTCAATGTATTGACAATAGCTAACATCTCCAGATTTGATCAACAATAAAATCTTATCTGACACATTTGTAGCCAATTATTTGTTTCTTATGTCAAGTTGTAGGAGAAAACGCTGCAAAACGTCACGGTGTTCAACTATCAGCCACATAAAATGAAGACGTGACTATAGAGTTGAGGTATTACTGAATCGTGCTATCAAGCAATTAAAGTAATCGAAAAACACATACAGTCCAGATTCAAACTTTAAAGCATGGAAGTGCTGGGAACATCTCAACCAATAAGCTAGCCGTTTTCTTGGTCTGGTATTGCTTTCTTACTCAGTCTAAATCTGTTGTATTTTGAAGTATCAAACTAAAACCCTACAGGACCTGGATCTAACAGAATAGTAAAGTAGCAAGACTCTTCTTTAGGTGCCATTTCTCTTGCAGCATAAAAAAGTTACAATTCAAAATCTGTTAGCCTCCACTTTGAGAGACAAGTTACAGTACCTTGGTGGTTTACCTGTAAGAAGTGAAAAAAATTTGAAAGTTCAAAAACCTGATCTTCTCAAAACAAAAAGTGGTCAGAAAGGCTAATATTTCTTAAAAGGTGAGATATTACAAAGAAATGACTGTGAATTCATAAAACAACATTCAATATTTATTATGTATGTGTGTGTGAATATATATATATATATATATACAGTATGACCTTTCGTTTGTTTACTTCACACTTTACATCATCTCATATTTGAAATATGCTCTTTACTGACAGCAGTTACAAAGTGTAACCACTGTAACAAAGTGCACAAACTTTGTTAGGGACAAAATTATGCCCCACTAAGACACACACACACACACACACACACACACGTGTGTGTGTATATATATATATATATATATATATAAAATGCTTATAATATAATTACAAGTTAAATCTGCATTAAATCTGACATTGCATAACATTGCAGAACTGTTTACTGTTCAGAGAAAAGTGTTTCTTGTTTATTCCATTTTCACAACAAAAGGCTTAAATGGGATGCTGTATGTATTTTGTGAAAGCTCTTGTTGTTTAAGTTAAATTATGCCTTTAGTTAGACATAACTAAAATATATTGATTCTGAGATCATGCCCTTCCAGACAGAAAATCAGATAAAACCAAACATTTATCTCTTGTTAAAATGCTTTGAGTTATAATTTCTTTTCCCCATGTTGATTACTGTAAAATATTATACTTGCTGATATTAACAGAGCAAATTTCTGGAAAATAACTCTGAAGCTTAAGAACTTACGCTGTTTAGACGTTTTCGCTAGTGATCAATGCTGGTTTCATTTCTGATTACTAGAAGCGATAAACAAACAATCGAGGCAATTCTCTCTGGCATTCCCACTGCTTTCAGATAAGCTTCACGAATGAATGGCTGACGACAGTGAAAATCTTTTCTTACTAGTGGGAATCAAAGTCAGATGCTTCAGAGGCAACTGAGCTTTCAACGCCCTTAGTCTATCTCCCTCTATTGGGAGATAAAACCAGATAAGCGTTCTCATGACAATGCATTGCAGCGATGCAATATTGAATGGTGAAAATTTTGAAATCCATTTCACTGTTTACCACATTTATTTCACACTATGTGTCACAGTCTCTACTCATTAAGTAAATGTAATTTAAGATGTGAACAGATGCCACTGTCTGAAATGACTCCATAGTGTCAGTTACTTTAAAAGATATGTTACGCTTATTCTCTACAAATGACTAAACAATACTTAATACTTTTTTTTAAACAAAAACAATGGAAAAAGTGAATATTAATAAAGTAATTACTTGAAATGGCTATACCAAAGAAACCAGAAATATACTGAGTAAGATCAAAACCGATCTGAAGCACTTCTGCACAATAGCAGGAGCTGTTTTTGACTAGTCTCATAATAATAGATCTAAAATTGCATACGAAGAAAGATCAGAAGTGTTTTATAACCTTTATCATAATATTTGATTTACCACACCAGTATGCAAAATTATTTATTGAGACAAATTCAACATGCTGCTATGTTTCAAAAACCCACTAATTCCAAGTGTTTGTCCATATGGGACAAACTGTTTGTCTGGCAGTTCTTTTTTTTGATAATCTACCGTGACTTTTTGCTGTGTATAATCTAAACCGCACACTAAGCTTTGTGTAAATCATGGCCCAGTCCTTCAGCTTCTCTGTTGTCACTGTCAATCTGATTCAAAGTCCAATGTGGAGACCCATATTGTGCCAAAAATTACTTCCTTAACCCTTACGGTCAGCAACATGAAGAGAGTAGGTTTACAGAACATCAAGAGAAAACTTTTTCAAAAGGACTTTTCCAAAAAAAAAAAAAAAAAAAAACACACACACAGAAGAATTGCATAGAAAGCCATTACATGCTTATTATGACAAACCGTTAACAATAAAGCACAATGTCAAAATAAATACCGCATCTCTAGTTGTCTGAAAATATCAAACCAACATAAATATGATGCGAAAACAATGCAGTCGAAACAGAAATCTAAACATTTCAGCATTTGAGATGCTTGTCATTTGAGCCTTTGCTAAAGGGTGAACCAGAGATGAAACAGCATTAGAATCTCAAAAACAGACCAGGCTCAATTTAGATGAGGTAACAAAAATGTGAGCTAGAGGCTAAGCATAAACTCACATGCAGAAAAAAAAAAAACACCTGGAAAATGTAAAGCAAATGTAAAGCACACAAGACGATGAAAATCAAATGAAAATGACTAAAATACTAAACTAAAAATAGGAAAGCACAAGGAATCATAAGCTGTATCCATGTACAATGTCACGTACGGTTTGAAATAAAACGCATAGTGACTAAAAATGGGGCATTTTAATTTAGATTACTACCCAAAACATAACGGTGTGCAGTAACAAAATCATCCTACATCAAACAATAA